ATCTTTAACATCAGTATTCTCCCTCCCATCTTTGGGTTCCATAGCTTGCTGTAACATCTTACAGAACTCACAAATTGCCAAGGAAGTGGCTCATGTGGTTGTGGAGGCTGGCAAGTCCCAAATCTGTGGGTCAAGCATCAGTCTGGAGCATTGTTTTGACTCGTGTGGTTGCAGGGGCTGAGGAACCCAAATTGGCAGGTCAAATGACAGGTCACTGGCTCTTAAGGCTGTGGAAGCTGGGGGATCAGGTCAGATGGTAGGCTGCTGGGTCAAGTCCCAAGAACTGGAGTTCAGACGATGATGAACCAGATGCAGGATCCAGTGCAAGAGAGAGAACTTTGCCAGAACATTCATGTATATTGGATGCAGACCATACCCTCAAGAGAACTCTCTTTACTTGAGCAAGGCGGTACAAAGGTGTGAAGGGTGATGACTGGGGTAAGGGTGGTGACTTGAGTCACACCTCCTAGTAAGGTGCTGACTCAAGATAAAACAATCCTACCCTAATCCTGCCTCATTAACACAATGGGCAACTCACACTAAAATCGGACCATAACGACAGGCATACTACACTAAAACCAAACCCACTACCCTCGAGTCAATTCCAACTCAGAGACCCCCACTCGGATTCCGAGATTGTAAATCTTTATGGATGTAGATTGCCCCATCGTCCTTCTGCAGGGTGACTTGTGAGTTTGAACTGCCAACCTACTAGTTAGCGGTCAAATGCCTTAGTCACTATGCCACCAGGACTCCTTTTACCACAGGCATGAAAAACCAAAAAACCAAACTCACTGCTATCGAGTCAAATCCCGACTCATAGCTATCCCTCCTTGGGTTTCCGAGGCAGTATCTCTACAGAAGTAGATTGCCCAGTCTTCCTTGAATCTCTAGCCTTCTGGTTAGCATCAAATGCCTTAGGCACTATGCCACCAGAGCTCCTTACCACAGCCATAGAGGCAAGAATTTATAACACATCAAAATGGAGAACATTAAGGCTAGAAAGGACATATCAAGTAATTCACTGCACTGCAGACTTGAACAGCAGCCCCAGTGGCCTAATGGATAAGGCATTGGCCTCCTAAGCCAGGGATTATGGGTTCAAGTCCCATCTGGGGTGCTTGAGCTTTTGAAGGAGCTCTGGTAGCGTAGTGCCTAAAACACTTGACTGCTAACTAGAAGGCTGGCGGTTCAAACCCACCAGCCACTCCTCAGAAGGAAGATGGGGCAATCTATTTCTATAGTGATACCGCCTCGGAAACTCAAGGAGGGGTCAGTATGAGTCGGGTCCAACTCGAAGGCACATAACAACAACAATAAGCAGACTTGAACAGTTGGCTCTCTGCTTATTCCAGCTTGCTTGTTTCTGTTGCACCTTCTGGTTCCAAATCACAGAATCAAAGGCTAGTGAAGCTGGACAGGATTTTAGGGATCATTTAGTTCTGATTGCTTCAAAGCCGCTCTCCTTTCTCTCTTGGGTAGGGGAATTAGGGTCAAGACAGACAGGTGTAGGAGTCACACCTCTTAATCCTGGCAGTGCTGAGCAAGGGCTTTATGCCAACCTCTGTGATCCAGATAGCTGTCAGACTAGGGGTCAGGATGGCAGAAGAGGAGGGGGATGTGGATGAGGGGGATGTGTTCCTGGCATTTGCTCAAGGACCCTCTGTTCCCAGGGGTCCCTTTCGTCGGATCTTGGACAAGGCCTTCTTTATCTTCCTGGCCCTCTTCCTGACACTGCTGATGCTGGAGGCTGCCTATAAACTGCTGTGGCCACTACCGTGGGCACAGTTTGGGGACTGGCTCCTGGGGACACCTCAGAAGGAAGAGGAGCTGGAATTGTGACCACCTTTTCCATAAACATCCTCTTTCCCTGCCACAGAGGTGAGAGGGGAGATAGGAGGAAAATGGGACTGTTGGAGGCTGTGGAGAGGACACTTGTATAGCTTAGAATAATTTTGATAATACTTGAATAAATAATTCAATAATTTTGAGAATAAATAACTCTGAAATAATGTTTAAAATGTATATAATCTCTCATATATTTTAGGTAGGCATCTAAAGTTTTTCACCATAAATTAAGATTGTTTCAAGGACTGATATCAATATTGGCGTATTAATATTCACATTTTAAAATAAAATAAATAACTCTTTTGAATGTTCAATGGAATTGAGATATCAGAGTGACTTGATACCAACCATCACCCATTTCAAAATATATAAATAAGCTCTTACTTAACAGTTCAGAAAGAGCTCTGGTGGTGCAGTGGTTAAGGCGTTTGGCTGTTAACTATAAAGGTCTGTGGTTCGAACCCACCAGCTTCTCTGTGGAAGTTGAAGCAGTCTGCTTCCATAAAGATTTGCACCCTTGGAAACCCAACGGGGGTTATCATGAATCAGAATCAACTCGGTGGCAGTGAGTTTGATTTTTTGGTTTTAACAGTTGGGCATCACTTCTTTTCTTTTCCATTATTCCTTTTTCTTCTTGAACTACAATTACCATTCCACTTCTACATAGACAATTTTATACTTGAAAGTCTTTTATTGATCAACCTATCATACTTTTATGCATATACAGATTTAAACATAATTTCTAGCTTGTTATCATTATAAGAATTATTAAAGCAAAACTGATCAAAGCAACATAAAGATTTTACACATTTTTATTATTAAAAATAAAAAGCAAATTTTTAATAAGATAAGCAAGGTGGTGTTATGATTTCTTGACGAAAGGAATAGGCATTTGTCTCTTTATTAGAGACACAAGATAAGATCACCCCAAGAGGGTTCATAGCTGACACCTGTAGTTTTCTCCTTTTTTTTTTTTTTTTAAAGAAGGAAAGTCTATTGGAAAAGGGGAAGGGAAGAAAGAGACCCTCTACTGCAGGCACTTACTCAGGAAAACAATTTTGGGAAAGTTGAGGATCTGGAAATTAAATGTAGTAAAACTTCCACGCTCAAGTACCCTTTGGAGAGTTTTCATGTTCTCAATTTGAAGACTGCAGGCTTAGAGAAAGTAGCCCTGGTGGCGCAGCAGTTAAGAACTCTGGCTGCTAACTGAAAGGTCGACCGTTGGAACCTACTAGCAGCTCAGCGCGAGAAACATATGGCAGTCTGGTTCCGCAATGGTTTACAACATTGGAAACCCTACAGGGCTGTTCTACTCTGGCCTATAGGGTCGCTAGGAGTCAGAATCAACTCCATGGCAGTGGGTTTGGTTGGGGTAGGCTTTGAGAACTGATAAGAAGTGGTGTGGAATTCTTTAATGGAAGAGAAAGTTCCAGCTTCTGGGATTTCAAAGAAAGAGGGAAGATGCTCAGCATTTGTGGAATACACAAGGATGCAGGAGGTGGAAATCTCAGAGATTGAGGTCACGTTAATATTTTGGGTTTAGGCTTCCCCATAAGTTCACCAAACCAAACCCACTGCCATGGAGTTGATTCCGACTCCTAGCGACCCCACAGGACAGAGTAGAACTCCCCTGTAGGGTTTCCAAGGCTGTAAACCATTACAGAAGCAGACTGTCACGTTTCTCCCGCTGAGCTGCTAGTGGGTTCCAACCGCCGACCTTTCCGTTAGCAGCCTTGACAATTCCCTCTAGCCTCCCTAAAGCTAGCCAAAGGGGTGCAGGCAAGACTGGCATCACCATTGGTTTTCCCCTTCTTTCTTTAGCTCTCACAGAGGAAGAGGACCAGACCCAAGGTATTTGGTGAGCCTCATTTCGTCTCACATCTTCACAATGCCTATTTGCACAGATTATTCTCAAAACCTCCGTCCTATCGCCGGTCCACAGGCCCTGCACTCCTCTACAAAGCACAGCCTCCTGGTCAGCACCTCCTGAGCTTCGGTGAACCCCTCCGGAGAACAAAAAAACACTCAGGTTGATTGTCATTAGTTATGTGATGGAGCTTGAAAATCAAATCAACAACAGTAGCAATAATAATGCATTTGTGTACCGCGTTTTGCTCACTCGTGTGCATGTGTTATTTTACGATAAGGGAGATGGAGGCATGTAGATGTAAAAGTAGAAGATGGGACAACGGCAAGGGCCGCGTATCCTTTGGAAGGGGCGGGAACGGTTGATTAAGTCGCGCAAACGGATACCTGAGAGTTAGGAAAGCAGGGACGGAAGGCTTGTCAACAGCCCAGCGGAAGGAAAAGGTTTTATTTCCCTCTTAAGAGAGTCCCAGTCTTCTGTGAAACCCTGCGCAGCCGTGGGGAACCCACGGCTTATCCAACTCCTTATCCATCCTGTTCCGTCTTCCCTCCCCTACTTGGAAAAGTGGCTCAGTCCTCCCTGCACACGACTCAGCCGCGGTTGGGCCCAATGCAGGAAGTTTCTGATTGGTGGAGTCACAGAAGCACCGGGTGAAAAGAGCTTCACTGGCTGCGCGCAAAAGTCCGGGCTAGACAGGACCGTACAGAAAAATGGCGACTCCCAAGTGCTTGCAACTTCCTGAAGGGACAAATCTCGCCCCCTATAGGTTAGGGAAGAAGCTCTGGTGGCATAGTGCCTAAGGCAAACCCACCAGCCACTCCTCGGAAGGAAGGTTGAGCAATCCTACCTCCGTAGTGATACTGCCTCGGAAACCCAAGGAGGGGTCGCTATGAGTCGGGGCCGCCTCGTCGGCAAATAACCAACACCACCACCACCAGAAGACTGGCAGTTCAAACCCACCAGCCTGGAAGGAAGATTGGGAAATCTACTTCCGTAGAGATACTGCCTCGGAATCCCAAGGAGGGGTCGCTATGAGTCGAATGGGCTCCACGGCAGTGAGTTTGGTTATTTTTTTTTTGGCTAGGTTAGGGAGGATGGGAACCGCACACTGCATGAGCAGCACTGGAAGTGCTCAGGGGGCGGGGCTACAGCTACTTCCGGCTACAGGACCACTATTTTCCGTACGAAAAGATGGTTTCCTCTATATGCATACAGGCGGAAACTCTATGGCTTCCGGTCTTGAGTGGGGACTGCGGTGGGAGGGGGAAGGAAGGCGGAGAGAACCATGCGAGGTTCTGAGATCAGCGGTGAGAGTCGCCTCGAGAGACCGTTTCTGAGGTGGGGGCCGGACGGTGCGGGGAGACGGGGTGGGGATATCGAGGGAAAGGTACTGTAGAGACTTGGGAGCTGAGATTCAGGGGCAAGCTGTGGTACTTCCTATTCCTAAAAGGGAGAGAGCGGCCAGGGTATGAACTGGGGGAGGGGGCGACTTGGCGGGAAGCTCACCTGGGGAAGGGAGCCGGACCCAGAATTGTGATCGAATAGAAACGAGAGAGCCCAGTCGAGGACTCACGAGCGGTTACAGGCCTAGGAGAGAAAATGGGGAAAATTAGGGTGGGGTGAGAGGGAGGGGATTCGAGGTGAGAGATCTCCAACCTACAGTCCTGGTCTGAGGGAAGCTATCAGAGGGTGCACTATTGAGATAATTTTTAAAAAAAGGGGAATGGGTTGTTGGGAAGAAACCTCTTCCTCCATAGAGAGTCTAGGAGTTGGGGTGACCATTCAGGATGGGGTGGAGAGTGTATGTTTGATGTGTTTTAGGGCAAAAACCCTTGGGGTGGTGTCGAGGAGGGTGTGTGGTTTGTGCAAAGGGGTGTCAAGGAAATCAGGATGCAGTGTGAGAAGCTGTCCTGGGATAGGGAGGAAGGATCAACCTGCCAACTATGAGAGATAGTGGGTAAATGAAACAGAAGACCGGAAATCAACAGGAGGGGTGGAGCTGGAGGTAAGGACTTAAGATTTGGAGGTGGTTTGGGCTCCCCCTCCCAGGTGAAGGGTCTGAAAAGCATATGGAAGTAATAGTGGCTGATCTTAGGCAGTGACGACACTTGGGCAGAGCTGGGTGTTACTGAAACCCAAGGAGATTGGAAATGTGTGAGATGAAGGGATGGGGCTTTGCTGGAGGGGCTCTTTCTGAGGCCCCATCCCCTTCCAGCAGGATTTCTGAAATCCCCACCACTTCCTCCCTCCGGGGGATTTGATCCCCCATGGCCACCGATAACAGCATCATTGTGCTGGATGATGATGATGAAGATGAAGCTGCTGCTCAGCCAGGGCCCTCCCACCCACCCCCCAATCCAGCCTCACCCCAGGCAGAAACCCCTGGCTCCTCTGAGCCCAGTGGGGCTGGAGGAAGCAGTAGTTCGAGCGGCAAGAAATGCTTCAAGTTGGAGAATGAGAAGCTGTTTGAAGAGGTGAGCTTTAGGGGAGAAGATTCTTATACTACAGGGAGGGGGATGGCTGAGTGGCTCTCCCATCCTTTCTTCCCCACTAACCCCACCTTGCCTTCTTTCTCTCAATCCTTTCCCTTGTTTCCTTTCCCCTCCTGAACCCTCTAGTTCCTTGAACTGTGTAAGACGCAAACGGCAGACCACCCTGAGGTGGTCCCATTCCTCTATAACCGGCAGCAGCGTGCCCACGGTCTGTTTTTGGCCTCGGCGGAGTTCTGCAACATCCTCTCTCGGGTCCTATCTCGGGCCCGGAGCCGGCCAGCTAAGCTCTATGTCTACATCAACGAGCTCTTAACTGTTCTCAAGGCCCACTCAGCCAAGAAGAAGCTGAACTTGTCCCCTGCTGCCACCACCTCCAGTGAGCCCTCTGGAAATAACCCTCCCACAGACCCCTCCTCAGACCCCACAAACACTGAGACCGCTGCCTCTGAGGCCCCAAGGACCCGTGGCTCCCGGAGACAGATCCAGCGCTTGGAGCAGCTGCTGGCCCTCTATGTGGCAGAGATACGGAGGCTGCAGGAGAAGGAGCTGGATCTCTCAGAACTGGACGACCCTGACTCCACATACCTGCAGGAGGCACGCTTGAAGCGTAAGCTAATTCGCCTCTTTGGGCGTTTGTGTGAGCTGAAAGACTGCTCTTCGCTGACTGGCCGTGTCATAGAGCAGCGCATTCCCTACCGCGGAACCCGTTACCCAGAGGTTAACAGGCGCATTGAGCGGCTTATCAACAAGCCAGGGCCTGATACTTTCCCTGACTATGGAGATGTGTTGCGGGCTGTAGAAAAGGCAGCTGCTCGCCACAGCCTCGGCCTCCCCCGACAGCAGCTCCAGCTTATGGCTCAGGATGCCTTCCGAGATGTGGGCATCAGGCTACAGGAGCGACGCCACCTCGATCTCATCTACAACTTTGGCTGCCACCTCACAGATGACTATAGGCCAGGTAGGGGTTTGCGAGATGCCCAATGGCAACCCATCAGGTGTGTGGCAGAGAGGCAGCTTTTTAGCCTCTCCTTCTAGGGTTTAGGCTGAGTGCTCTGACTTTGTATCTTTCCATATAGGCATTGACCCTGCACTGTCAGATCCCACCCTGGCCCGGCGCCTGCGTGAAAATCGGAGCTTGGCCATGAGCCGGCTGGATGAGGTCATCTCCAAATATGCAATGATGCAAGATAAGAGTGAGGAGGGCGAGAGGCAGAAGAGAAGAGCCCGACTCCCCCAAGGCACCTCTTCCCACTCTGCAGAACTCCCCAGAGCCTCCCCAGATTCTGGTGAGGTACGGGAGGGATATCCCTTCAGAGGGGCCACATCCTCCCCTGCCACCAGGGAGTCCAGGAAGACTGATGGGGGAGTGTGCAAAGGCTGGGTGTCTGAGGCAAAGAATTCCTTAGAGAAACTTCTTTGTCCTCCAGGGCCCTAGTGGATTGGCATCCCAGGAGTGCCCTACCACCTCCAAGGCTGAGACAGATGAGGAAGAAGATGAGGAAAGTGATGATGAGGAGGAAGAGGAAGAAGAGGAGGAGGAGGCCACAGATTCTGAGGAGGAGGAGGAGGAGGATCTGGAACAGATGCAGGAGTGTCAGGGGGACAATGAAGAGGAAGAGGCAGAGGAGGATGAAGTAGGTATGTCAGAGCAGCATTCTCCCTATGTGTCAGTTCCTCTATTCTGTTGAGCATAAGCCACCTGTTTGAGACTCCTTTCTTCCTTCTCTCTCCTTGTAGTTTTCCTCTAAGCAGTATTCTCTCTCCTAGTTCTCATGCCATCTTTCATCTTTCCCAGGCAAGGATGGAGACAAGAGTTCCATTTCCCCACCACAGCTCTCCCCTGAACAGAACCTGGAACCTGGCAAAGGGACAAGCAGGTCTTCAAGGGAGCAGCAAAACAAAAGACTCACAGTGTCCCCATCATCACTGTCAGAGGGGCCCCTGGCCCTTTCCAGCACAGATGCTGAAAGCAATGGAGAACAGCTCGAGGAGTTGCCCCTGGAGGAAGAAAGTCCTATGTCTCAGCTCTTTGAGCTAGAGATTGAAGCCTTGCCTGTGGAGACCACCCCTTCCCCTGAGGAGAGGGACATTTCCTTTTCCAGGAAGCAAACAGAGGACTCTCTTCCCACTGTTCTGGAGAATGGAGCAGCCATGGTCACCTCTACTTCCTTCAATGGAGGTGTATCTCCTCACACCTGGGGAGATTCCTGCCCTCCCTGCAAGAAATCTCGGAAAGAGAAGGACACAGGGTCAGGGCCATTAGGAGACAGGTAACAATGAGGAGGAAGAGGGAAGCCAAGGCAGGATTGCAGGGGGCTTTTTGAGTGGAGTGGTGGGGAACAATGTCTGCTGGGAGTGAAATCAGATACCTCCAGCCTTACTCACCCCATCCCTGCCACACATATATGTTTCTGTCTCCAGCTACGTGGAAAAGGAAAAGGCAGTGCATGAGAAGAATGGGAAGAGGATTTGTACCCTTCCCAGCCCACCCTCGCCCTTGGCATCCATGACCCCAGTTGTTGATTCCTCCACAAGAGTGGACTCTCCCAGCCATGGCCTGGTGACCAGCTCCCTCTGCAGCCCTTCTCCAGTCAGGCCATCCCAAACCCCCCAGTCCCAATTCCCCCGGCCTGGTACTTACAAGGTAAGAGAGGGAGGCTGTTTTGTTTCTCATGGTTCATTTTCTTTCATTGTCTTTTCAGTTTCAGTTTCTCTAAATATTGTACCAACGGGATCTTCTCTTCTTTGGTTTTCCATCTCAGTTTTCTCTCCGCTAAATCCCTTCTCCTGCATCTCCTCCCCCCCGTACTCCAGATCTCTCTGACATTTGTACCCGTCTCTCACTTTCCTGCAGATGAGTGTGGCCACACAGTGTGATCCAGAGGAGATCATCGTACTCTCGGACTCTGATTAACTGGTTCCCTCATCCTTCACCCTCCTCACCTCCAAAGTGTTTGGGGATAGCTTTTGGAGGATGATGGGGAGCAGATCACTGAGGAGATGGACTGAGCTTATCCCCATTTGGTGGTGTTTCTTTTAAAAACACAAAAGCTTAAGTTTTACACAGAACATTACTAAACAATAAAATTCTTTTCTTATTGTATCCCTGTCTTTCTTTGTCCTTTTGCTGCCACAAAACTGATCCCGGGTAGCCCTGGAACTGTTCTTTCCAGCCTGGCCTTTGCACACCTTTCTTTGGGTTTCTCAGCCTTCAGGCCTTCCCAGCGCCCTCCGACAGGCACTAAAAAAGTGTTTCACCTCCTTAACACACTTTACTTTCTCACTTCTAGCAGTCGGAGTGAAAAGGCCAATCAGGGGCTGGCGCAAGGTTATTTGGCCAATCCAGGCCTGGAGGAAGGGGGCGGGGCTTAAGGGGAAACTGTCAGTAGCTGGGAGGCGAGGGCGATTCGACCCGGCAAACCTACTAATGGCCACAGCTCAGGGGCGGAGCCTGGACTGCGAAGGCCGGGACCCAAAGCTAATGGGAAGAGGAAGGCTTACAGAATTAAAGGGGAATTAATGCTTCGGCAGAACTAAATCCAAAGCCATCAGCGGAGGAGGGGACCTGGTACCTTTAAAGTGGAATGAGGCAACGGTTCTTTAAAGGAAAATTAGCCGAGTCGGCCGAGTTTTGCCCAGCGGCACGGGCGGGGGGCCCGTCTGTGCCTTTAAAGTCGGAGGGGCGGGAGGCGGAGCGGGGGCGGAGGGCGGAGGGAGTCGGCGCAAGATGGCGGCGGGAGGGGCCCAGGCTGCGGCTCTGGCCGCCGAGTGAGGGGCGGGGGGGTCCGGGGGCGCGCGGCCCGGTAAGCGGGGACGCGCGGGGTTGGGGGGCGCCTTCCGGGTGGGCGAGGAGGCCGTTGTAGCGCTTGGGGCGGAGCAGAGGGGGGCGGGGTCCTGCGTGGGCGGGGGTAGACAAGGGGCGGGGCCGGAAGGACCAAGGGGGCGGGGCTATTGTAAACTGGTGTAAAGGGGGCGTGGTCAGTGAGCGAGTCACGGGCAAGGCCTAAGGGGGATGAAGAGAGGGATGGTTTTCTTTTTAGTACAAGAGCAGACTCCCCCCCCTCCAAGATAAGGATGCAGAACACCAGAAAGGTGGATCTTGGGAAGTCAAGCTCTCTAGCAAATGAGAAATAGGGTGCAGTTATGAGAGGAGGTACGCCACTCCCTGAGAGCACTTTCTTTCCCTAACTTCCAAAGAAAGAGTACTTGGGAGACTGCATTTGCTGGCACTTCCACTTATTGACTATATGACCTTGGATAATCTCTTAATCTTTCTCAGCCTCAGTTTCCTCATCTGTCAAATGGGGTTGGGAGGTATACCTACCTTACAGTGTTGTTCTAGGGAGTTACTAAGATAATGAATGATTCCTGTGAACCTGTTTGTAAAGTGTAAAGGGCTATATCATTATCAGATGTTATTGTTATTCTTCTCTCTTTTTTTCCCCAGATACCCCCCCGGCCTCCCTTTTCCTTCCCTTGTTCCTGTGGCTGGGGGGGGTAACCCCCCCTCCATACAATGGAGCCATCTCCTCTGTCTCCCAGTGGGGCAGCACTCCCCCTGCCCCTATCACTGGCCCAGCCCCCACTTCCAGCAGCTGCAGTGGTACATGTGTCCTTCCCTGAGGTGACCAGTGCCCTCCTGGAGTCTCTCAACCAACAGCGCCTGCAGGGCCAGCTCTGTGATGTGTCCATCCGAGTGCAGGGCCGGGAGTTCCGGGCTCATCGTGCTGTTCTGGCTGCCTCCTCCCCTTACTTCCACGACCAGGTCCTACTCAAGGGCATGACTTCCATCTCACTGCCCAGCGTCATGGATCCAGGCGCCTTCGAGACTGTCCTGGCCTCAGCTTACACTGGCCGCCTCAGCATGGCTGCTGCTGACATTGTCAACTTCCTCACTGTGGGATCGGTGCTACAAATGTGGCACATCGTGGACAAGTGCACTGAGCTCCTTCGTGAAGGCAGAGCCTCAGCTACCACTACCATCACCACCTCTGCAGCCACCTCAGTCACTGCCCCTGATGCCACAGGCCCAGCAGGGAGTGGGGGCACTGTGACCCCTGCTACCATGAGTTCTGTGCGTTCCCACACCTCCAGTCAGGCCAGTGAGAACCAGTCCCCCAGCAGCAGCAACTACTTCAGCCCCCGGGAGTCCACTGATTTCTCATCTTCCTCCCAAGAGGCATTTGCAGCTTCTGCAGTGGGCAGTGGGGAGCGGCGAGGAGGTGGCCCTGTGTTCTCAGCCCCTGTGGTTGGCAGTGGTGGGGCTACCTCTGGGAAGTTGCTGCTGGAGGCGGATGAGCTGTGCGATGATGGTGGAGATGGCAGGGGGGCGGTGGTCCCTGGGGCTGGACTCCGTAGGCCAACCTACACACCCCCCAGCATCATGCCACAGAAACACTGGGTATATGTAAAGCAGGGTGGAAACTGCCCCGCGCCAGCGCCCCTGGTTCCCCAAGATCCAGATCTGGAGGAGGATGAGGAGGAGGAAGACCTGGTGTTGACTTGTGAGGATGATGAAGATGAAGAGCTGGGGGGTAGCTCAGGGATCCCAGCAGGGGGAGGGCCTGAGGCTACCCTCAGCATAAGTGATGTCCGGACCCTGACTGAGCCTCCAGACAAGGGGGAGGAGCAGGTCAACTTCTGTGAGTCCTCCAATGACTTTGGCCCCTATGAGGGTGGAGGTCCTGGGGCAGGGTTGGATGATTCCGGAGGGCCTACTCCCTCCTCCTACAACCCCTCCCACCCTCCACGGCCCCTGCTTCCCCTTGACATGCAGGGCAACCAGATCCTGGTCTTCCCATCCTCCTCCTCCTCCTCCTCCTCCCAGGCTCAAGGCCAGCCACCAGTGAACCAGGCAGAGCACAGGGCAGTGACCCTGGGGGGCACATCGGCAGGGGGCTTGGGTATGCCAGGGGGCACTGGTGGGACCTCTGGGGGAACAGGTGGTGGGGACGGAAATAAGATCTTTCTGTGCCACTGTGGGAAGGCCTTCTCACACAAGAGCATGCGGGACCGGCACGTGAACATGCACCTCAACCTTCGGCCCTTTGACTGTCCTGTGTGCAACAAGAAGTTCAAGATGAAGCACCATCTGACCGAGCACATGAAGACGCACACTGGCCTAAAGCCCTACGAATGCAGCGTCTGTGCTAAGAAGTTCATGTGGCGCGACAGCTTCATGCGCCATCGGGGACACTGTGAGCGCTGGCACCGCCTGGGTGGAGGCGGGGCCGGACCCGGAGGCGGGGCCGGACCCGGGGGCGGGGCCGGACCTGGGCCACCCACTGGACCATCTGTGCTGCCCAAACGAGAGTCAAAAGGGGCAGGTGGGGGTAGCGGAGATGAGACGACTGGGGCTACGCCCCCGCCCAGCCCAAGAGTCTGGTCCCCAACTGGTGTTCACAAGGTGGAGATGGGCTTCAGTGGGGGCGGAGGGGCAAACTGAGGGGGCAGAGCTTTTGGGGTTAGCTTTCGGGAAAGAGGGAATAGGGAGGACGAGCTAGGAGTGCTGTAGCTTCCAGGTGATCTCCCACCACACTTCCAGTCTTCCTTATCTCTATGGACTTGTACATACTTGGGAGGGGGAACCAAGTTGCACCACCGCCAACCCATTCCACTCTTCAGCCACCCCATACTACCCTGAAGTTATCCTCAGAACTAAGCCCTTCATTCACCTCACATGAGTACACTGAAGGCCCAGCTCCAGAGTAGGGCGTACATAGGAGATGAAGAGGGGACAGTTGAGCATCCTGGAGTCACAGGGTCAAGGGTCAGGTGGTTGTAGTCTGTGCCTGAAGTCTGTGTTTGTGTTGTTGTGGGGACCAGGCCTTCCAGCCCCACCCTTGTCCTGGAACCTATCACCCCCACAGGATGCATCCCTTATTTCTACCCTACCCCTACTTTCTCCCCACCTCCATAGGGTTCCCCAACTCGGTTCTCAGGGGGGAGGGGGTGGAGACAAGGAGGGAGTAAGTTGTAGGAGTACAAGGTTTTTATTTTAAATCTTATTTTTTTTAATGGTGATTAAAATATTTATTGATCATTTCACATGTCTTACTGACAACCCCTATATGTCTTTGCTGGGGACCCGGCCCAGTTGGGGGAAAATGGAGTAATGGTTTCCCTGGAGGTGGATGAGGTGGGGGGAGATTGGAGTTGGGGAGGGTTTTGGAACCCGGCGGTGTTCACCGGCCAGGGGGGCGGGGCAAAACGGTGGTTCCCAGAAAAGAACTGGAAGGGATTCCCGCTCCTGGATCCCTGCCCGGCCGGTGGGAGGCGCACCCGCCTCCCGCACGCCTTCACCTAGTCGGAGCGGGGATTTCCCCATGCCTCCTGGTGCCCTTTGAAGAAATTGAAAGTGAAAGGGGGAAGAGGAGGCTTCTGGGCTGAAGCGATAGCAGCGCCATGAAGCTCCTGTCCCTGCTCCTCACGGTGGCTCTGGGTGAGAGAACCCCGCGACTTTTCTCCCGGGAACAGGTAGAAGGGGAGGGAGGTGGTCCTGCCGTTGCGCCTGGGCCAGAAGGAGGTTGTCACCGGACATCCCAGACGTCCCCTCATCCGGACCCTCTCCCCCAGGCCTGGCGACTTCCGTCTCGGCAGGACCGGCAGTGCTCGAGTGCTGGTTGGTGGAAGATGTCGGCGGCGGCGGCGGCCTGGCCAAAAGACCTGCCGCACTGCTGCTGCGCCAAGGCCCCGGGGGACCTCCTCCTCGGCCGGATCTTGACCCCAAGCTCTACCTCAATGTGCACGGTGAGTCTTCGGGACTCGCCCCCAAGTCTGCACCCTCCACAAAAGTCTCCTCCTCTTCTTGTCACGTAGTGACCTTGGGCCTTAGTGTCCCCCACTGTAAAATGAATCTGGATTACCTCCAAAAGCCCTCACTAAAGGGGGTAGTCTGTACGTTTGAAGTTACCCAGGTGCTGTCCTCCCCGCCCCTTTCCCCGGCGGTAACTACTTTTGCCTCCCCTTCTCCGCACTTGCAGACCCGGCGGGAGCCCTCCAGACGGCCTTCAGGCGGTACCCCCGAGGCGCCCCCGCGCCACACTGCGAGATGAGCAGCTACGTCCCGTTCCCCGCCTCCCCGAACTGGGCCAAGGGCCTGATCTCAGAGCACAGCTGCCCGCGGGCCCTGGACGGGACTTGGCTCATGGTCAGCATGTCCAGCCCGGTCCTCAGCCTCACCAGCCTCTTGAAGCTACAGCCAGAGTTACAACTGGAGCCTGTTCCCATCACCATGGCAACAGGTAGCTTGGGAGGGGTGGTGGTGATGGATGGATAGATTCTAGATTCCAGATCTGATGGTACTCGCTCTGTGGACTTTTTAACATGTCATTTCCCCAATCTGGGCTCAGTTTCATTACGCTGTTTTAGGAGAAGCGATTGGGCTAGAAATAGACAATCTATCCCCGCCCCCTCTCTCCCCGTACCCTGTAAAAAACGCGTCCACTTCTGCTAGAATGAGGCAGGGCTTTGGAGAGAGGCAAGGTTTCCGGACCCAGGTCCCTGAGAAACGTTTAAGGTGGTGGAACTGGGAGGAGCAGGAACTTTCTCTAGTCCTTCCAGATCATCTTTCTAGGCACTCCCCACTTTGCATTTCACCGGGTTCTGAAAACCAGCCTTCCAGCCCCACCCACACCCATGTTGGGCGCCTGCGGCAGGCAGCAAAGCAAAGGTTCTTGCACTCTATGGCATTTACCCCCAAAATCCTACAGTCCCTTCTCTGTGGAGTGTGGTGATGTGCAGACTCTCTGTGGTCACCAAGCTGTGGGCTTGAGTGGGTGGAAGAAACAGCCGAGAGACCCAAAGATTCCCACAGCAAGGAATGCTTATTGTATTGTGCAAAACAATTTGAGGCCCACAAGTGGGACGCTTTGCTAGGTTGGGGCAAGAGGAGGGGATGGGTGGATGTTCTAGTTACCTAGTGCCTCTGTGACAAGAATATACCACAAATCAAATGGCCTTAACAAACAGGAGTTTATTTTCTAACAGTTTGGAGGCTTTAAGTCCAAGTTCAAAGTGCCAGGCTCTAGGGACTGGGTGAAAGCCCCTCAACCTTGGGCTTCAGCTCTGCTTCCAGCTCCCCACCCACTGAAGCTAGAGATTTTTTTCACTCAGACAGCTGCTGGCTGCTGAGGCTGCCAAGCCCAAGGTTGACAAATAAAAAGGCACAGTCCTGATATTACCAAATCATCCGGCAGGCCATTAATTTAAGTCCATTGTAAGTTCCAAGGTTGGCAGAGCATGGCAGCTGCTGAACAATTACACACTACATGCAGGGTCCAAGAGTGCCATAAGCTAGAGACCATTTCCAAGGTTTCTCCTTATATACAGGAAACAGACCACATCCCAAAGGCAGCTACTCAGCTGCTTGTGGTAGATCCCACCATGGAGGTGATTGCCAGTCTCATCATGGAGAATAACTACCACCAGCTGCCCAGCCACTCAACCAGGCCCAGCCAAGTTGACACACAAACATAACCACCACAGTGGATAATGCAAGAATGGAGATCTGCCCCTAACAACTAGGAGCTCTCTTCTCTCAGTGAACAAACAAGAGAGTATAGATAAACTTGGCCTCCCTCAGTTTTGTATGATTTTACTACAGACTGAATGAAGGTCAGGTCAACCCCAACTGAACTTCCGTACCTCCCTTCCCCAGTACCCTTTCCTTGCCACCTTCCTTACTAAGAGAGAATGACCCACAGGACCAGGGAAATGGGCTCTCTACGCAATCTGCAACTTGCACCTCTACCTACACCTCCATTCTTAGTACCCAGGCTCCACCCTTGGCTGGAGCAGAGGACATCTGAGTCTTGTGGGAGCAATAGCTCCCTCCAGCAGGGAGGTGTATTATTTCCCAGGGGTGGGGCTTCATTGAGTTGGCCTGAGAATGTCTCTTTCTCTCAGAGTTGTTTATCCAAGTGTAGAATGTGGTTACTATTTTCCATCTGCCTTTCTGTTGGTATGACTGTCAGTGGAGGTACTGTGTTAATTTATTCACTGATTCAATAAATATTTATTAGCACCAAGAGTAAGTTAGGACCCAGTAGTTCTCAGTCCTGACTGCAAATTAGAATCCTCTAGGAAATACACCAAAAGCTGGGTCCCACCCCAGGCCAATTAGAATCTCTGGGGTATCCATCCACCTCTGTACTTTGAAGGGTCTCAAAGTGATCATATGCAGAATTTCCCAAGGAGGCTCTTGTCTACTAGGGGAGAAGAGATTTGGAATGGATAATTCTAGTGTCAAATAGAAAGCCACTGTGCCCAGGCCAAAACATCTGTTTCTCACAGGCCACTGGCAGTAAATACAAGTTGGTAAAAAAAAAAAAAAAAAAGCTGTAGTACTCTGTCTCTCTTTTCAAGCATTCTGGATTAAAAATTCAAGACAATGAAAAGTATTCTATTGTTGTGATGAAAAATGAAAAGTGGAATCTTGCCAAGGTCAGAGTTCATAGATAATTTTGCCATGTACATATACATTATTTCTTATCAAATTAGTTCACAAAGACTTTAAAATGTTTGCTGGCAAATATCTTTTCTTAGCATACGTTGTATGTATCATATTTAATTCTCATCATTCTTTTATATATTATTATGGAAAAATTTTCAGATTCCCCAAAGTAGAGCAAATAGTATAATGATCCCTCATCCCCCTCATATAATCATCATCTATTTGTACAGATATTACATTTTATCAAATTGTTTCATCTATTCTCCTCCACTTTCTTTCTTTTTCTTTTTGCTAATATTTTAAAGTATATCCCAAGTATTATATTATTTACTCATAAGACTTCAATAAACATCTCTATTAAATTACAATGTTTTTTACATAACCATAATATCATTATCATACCTAACAAAACAAACAGGATCATTTAATTCCTAATCCATATTAAAATTTTTCTGATTGTCTCAATGATAATCATGTTACAGTTGATTTGCCCAAATCAAAGAGAAACCCAGTCATTTGTCCTACAGAATTTCTCACATTCTGTCCTTGACCTCTTTTTCCCTTGTGGTGTCATTTATCTTGTACCTCTTCCCTCCATATTTCCTATAAACTGGTAGTTGGATTTAGAGGCTTAATTAGATTACAAAAAAACCCCACAAACTCACTGCCATCAAGTTGAACCTGACTCATAGTGACCCCTCTTTTGGTTTCTTAGGCAGTATCTCGACGGAAGTAGATTGCCCAGTCTTCCTTCCGAGGACTGGTTCAAAACCACCAGCCTTCTGGTTAGCAGTCAAATGCCCTAGGTACTATTTTTTTTTTTTTTTTGGTAAAACTTTATAATAGGTGTTATCATTCACTTTTTAACAGACAAAAAGCAGAACTTATGTATACAAGCTACAAAAATGAAGGTGAAACTTACTGTGCTGGCCCTATTGTATTTATATTCATATCTTCACAGAGTACAGTTTATGGAATGCAGGTCTAAAATTGCTTACAAGATTCCATACTATCCCATTACTGTTAAATGTTGAACTGTAAAACCTTCAGGTTTTGTTTATTAATCCTGTGGACTGTTTTTTTTTTTTTTTAAAAAAAAAAAACAATCCTAAATAGTATTTCTCGATTTTTATCAACTAAGTGAAATTACATACTTGCTTTTTACTCTGCTGAACAATCTAATACAATCCCATGAGGTTGAGAAAAGCTGAACTTTGTAGCCCTCGGAATGTAGGATTAAAAATAACATATAGATAATCACAAAAGGAAACTGACTGCTTTTACCTGGAGGACCTGGACACTTCTAGGAGGAAGCAGAGGTAGAACGAACCCCGAAAGACATGGAGTGTTTAGATGTTTGGTAGATGATGGGGAAGAGCATTGTAAAATGAAGGGTCTTTATTACTGAAACAGACATGTCCAATAGGTAGAGCATCTACTAGGAGCAAAAAAAGGATTCTATGTGGCTAGTTCTTAGGGTGCAAGAGAACTTGGGAAAGGTGAGTTGGGGTGGGCTTATCAAGTACTTTGAAAGCTCACCTTTATTCTGTAAATAATGGTGAAGTAGCAGAAGTGTTTTTTTTGTCATTATTTTCACAAAAATCTGTTACTTGATTCTAATAAAAGGCAAGAAGGATCAGGTCACTGGAGTAATGAGGAAAATAAAGATTAAGTGACTTTCTCAAGGTTCTTGGCAAGTCCATGATGATGGTGGTAGAAATGAAAAGAGTAAGAGTAACAGGTAACATTTACTGGTATTTTCTAAATGCCAGGTTCTGTTCTTAGTACTTTACATCCATAATTTTGCTTATTCCTCTCAACAATAGGAAATTTAAAAAACAGTTGCCCTTGAGTCAACTCTGACTCAAGATGACCCCATGTGTGTCAAGGTAGAACTGTGCTACATTGGGTTTTCAATGGCTGATCGTTTACAAGTATGTCCCCAAGCCTGTCTTCCAAGGTGCCCCTGGTGGACTTGAATTTCCATCCTTTCAGTTAACAGTTGAGTTTGCCAACCATTTGCAATTACCCAGGGATTCTGCCAGAGGAAATAGGTACTACTGCTGTCTCCATTTTAAGGAGCCCTGGTGGCTCAGTGGTTAAAGCACTTGGCTACTAACCAAAAGGTCAGTGGTTCAAATCCACCAGCCACTCCATGGAAGAACGATGGGGAAGTCTGCTTCTGTAAAGATTTACAGCATTGGAAATGCTATGGGGCATTTCTAGTCTGTCCTATAAGGTCACTATGAGTGGGAATCAACTCGACAGCAGTGGGTTTGTTTTTTTGGTAATATCCTCATTTTATAAATGAAGAAAACTGAGGCACAGAGCAGTTAAGTGACGTGCCCAAGGACACAGTTTGTAAGGAACAGTGCTAGGAATGAAACCTAGACCATTAGCTGAGCCTGTGCCTTTTATTGCTCCCTTCCAGATAGCTGGGCTTTTTAAACAGGCAAATGACCTGGTCAGACCTGTAGCTACACTGGCTGCAATGTGGAGGATGAATTGAAGAGAAAAGAAACTGAGGATAACAAGACCAGAGGAAGGCTGTTGTGATTGTCCACCCTGAGTTGGAAGCAAGTGAGATCTGTTTGGGATATAGAATTAGGGCATATTGGGATAGAATATAGCACATTATAGTTGGCAGTTTTCTCCTCGGTCTTCCTCATTAGACTGTAAGCAATTTGAGGTCAAAGATTTCCTGTCTTGTCCACTCTGCCCTCTAGCACTACATCTTGAACATCCTAACCCCACTGCTGCGGAGGTCGGATCCAACTCATAGCAACCCCTCCTTGGGTTTCCAAGGCGGTATCACTACAGAAGTAGATTGCCCAACCTTCCTTCTGTGGAGTGGCTGGTAGGTTTGAACCACCAGCCTTCTGGTTAGCAGTCAAATGTCGTAGGCACTAAGCCACCAGAGCTTCTCTTGAATATCCTAGGTGCTCAATAAATATTTGTTGAATGAATGAATGAAGGAAGGAGTATGAGTAACTTTAAATGTTTGCATTGGGCCTGTGGAGCTGGTGGTGACTGTTGATCAAGGCAAGGAAGACAGACATTGCAGAGATTCCGTCGAGTTGGGGGCATGTTGAGTTTATTTGGCAGTTAGGTATAAGCACAGCTTATACCTAACAAAAAGTGTTTGGATATAAACACTTCTGGCAGAGTTACTGTATTCCAGGCACTGCTTAAAGTATCTTTTGCCTTTCAAATATAGGTGTCTTTGTTATCCAGCATCAGTAACTGAACAGATTTGGATAGCAAGAGGTATTAAATGATTTAACCCTCACAAAAACCCCATGAGGTAACTACTATTATCATGATCATCCCTATTTTAGAGATTAGGGAACTGAGCCACAGAAAGGTGAAGTTAACTGGTCCAAGTAAATTAACTTGGCCAATACTTGGTAAGTACTTGCAAAGTTGGATTTGAACCAAGGCAGCCAGGCTCTAGGCCTTAACCACTGTACTACACTGCCTTAGTAGGGCATAGAGATCTGTGTTCAGGTATAGGCTGGAGCCAGACCTTTCCAGAGTTAACAAATACATCAACAAGTACAGCACCATAGGATTGATGGCCACAGGTCATTACTGCCTTCATCAACAACCAAGAAAAGCCTGACTCTTCAAGGTGATACCTAGAGACTGGACGGGTTCAGGCTGTGTCAGAAGTGCCCTCAGATCTCACTGTCTCCAGGACTCAGGTGGGCTGAGTGTTCAGAACAGACTTCAAGGGCTGTTCTCACTAACTGCCCCTTCTTTACCCCTAAACCTCTCTGCTGACTCCCAGCAAAACTGGGTGCTTTTCAGTCCCGGCACAAAAGGGGATTTGGTGGGGGGGCTGGGAAACAGAGAGCATCCAAAAAGAAGGTGTGTTCTGAGGTGTGGGTAAATTAGAGCTGAGTCCTCCCTATAATTCCATTTTTCTGTTTTTTCTCCTTTCTCTCCCTCATGCCCCTGCCTCTCTGCCCCCTATCTTCCCAGTGGTGCTGACTGTCCTCACCCACACCCCTGCTCCTCGAATTCGACTGGGCCAGGATGCCATGCTGGACTTGAGCTTCACCTATATGCCCCCTACCCATGAGGGTGGTACATCCATGGCCCTGGGCCCCCCTCCCTTTGGGCTGGAGTGGCGACGCCAGCACCTGGGTAAGGGGCACCTGCTCCTGGCTGCAACCCCTGGACTGAGTGAACAGATGCCAGCAGCCCAAGAGGGGGCAGTGACATTTGCTTCGTGGGATGATGATGAACCATGGGGCCCATGGACTGGGAATGGGACCTTCTGGCTGCCTGCAGTGCGACCCTTCCAAGAGGGCACCTATCTGGCCACAGTCCACCTGCCATATTTGCAAGGGCAGGTCACCCTGGAGCTTACTGTGTACAGTGAGTGGGGAAACAGTGGTCCCCATGGGTAGGGGGCAGGCATTGGGATTAGAGGTTGCCATGAGACGGGGAGAACAGGGTGTCTGGGTGAGTGAGGGGAGAGGGGTGGGAGTCCTTGGAAGTCAGAGGGGCAATGAGAGGGGTGAGGGATCCCTGGGAATCTGAGGGGCTTTAATATGGTGATTCCTTGAAACACCACTGGGAAGACAGTGGGTTTCCTATCCCACCATCTTGGGAGAGGAAACCCAGCCCCCTCTGTTTTGGGCAGTCCAGAAGGCAAGCTGAGGGTCTCTGAGGGAGGAGAGTGTGGAATGATTCCCCTATACCCATTTCCTACTCTTTCCTTAGAGCCCCCTAAAGTGTCCTTGCTGCCAGCACCCCTGGTATGGGCCGCCCCGGGGGAGGCGCCTCCAGAATTGGTCTGCCTGGTGTCCCACTTCTACCCCTCTGAAGGCCTAGAGGTTGAATGGGAGCTCCAGGGTGGCCCAGAGGGTGGCTATCGGAAAGCTGAGGGGCAGAGGTGGCTTTCCACCCTGCGCCACCACTCTGATGGCTCTGTCAGTCTCTCTGGACACCTACAGCCTTCTCCTGTCACCACTGAGCAGCATGGGATGAGCTACGCCTGTCGCATCCACCACCCTAGTCTGTCTGCCTTGGGGCGTAGTGCCAAGGTGACCCTGGAGGTGGCAGGTAAGATCCAGGAGTGCCCACGGGACTGGGGGCCAAGCCAGAGCCTGGCTGGAGCTCATCTCACCCCTTCTGCCTACCAGGCCTTTCTAGGCCCTCCCTAGAGGATGGGGTGGGCCTCTTCCTCTCAGCCTTTCTCCTCCTCGGCCTCTTCAAGGTGCTTGGCTGGATTGGTGAGTGTGAGCTTCACCCTACCTTGACCCTCTACTCCTGTATATCCCACCTACTCCCAGGGGCTTGATGCCCATCTCTCTGCCCCCTCCACCTCCCCCATCCTATTTTTTCTCAATCTCTCTCCACAGCTGCCTACAGGTCCAGTTCCAAGGATTCAAAGGAAAAGGTAATGATTCTTCCTTTATCTTTCCCTTCTCATTTCATTCCCTTTACCCAACTCATCACTCGGGGGCGGGGGATAGGCCACTGATGTGGTTAGTACCTGAGTTTGGAATTCACACACACCTGCTGCTTAGATCCTTAAACTGTAGGACTTCTCAAACAAGCTACTTAACCTACACCAGTTTCTTTGGCAGTTTGTAACACTAAGATGACACAAATAGGTAGCTCTAACAGAAATACAGTGCAAGCCACATATTTACAATTAAATAATCTAGTAGCCACATTAAAAAAAAAGTTAAAAGAAATAGGTGAAATTAATTTTAATAATACATTTAGCTTATAAAAAAAACCTCACTGCCATTGATTTGATTCCGACTCATAGCAACCCCCTTTGGATTTCTGACGTGGTAAATCTTTACAGAAGTAGATTGCTCAGTTAATTATTTCAATATGTAATCAATATAAGAAATTACAGTATTTTTCTGCACCAAACCAAAAAAACCCAAACTCACTACCATGGAGTTGATTCAACTCATAGCATCCCCTCCTTGGGTTTCCAAGGTGGTATCTCTACAGAAGTAGATTGTCCAGTCTTTCTTCTGAGGAATGGCTGGTGGGTTTGAACCTCTAGCCTTCTGGTTAGTAGTCAAATGCCTTAGGCACTACATCACCAGAGCTCCCTTCAAAAACCAGTCTTCAAAAACCAGTTTTTTTAAAAAATTACCACATCTTAATTCAGCCACATTTCAAATGCTCAATATCCACACATGGGTGGTGACTGCATAGTGCACAGCTTAGTCTCAGGGCTGTTGGGAGAATGAGAGATACTTTAGTGCGTACTGTAAAAGGAGCCCTGGGCTGCTAATGAAAGGTTGGTGTTTTAGAACCCACCCAGTGGCTGTACAGGAGAAAAGACCTGGTAATGTTGAAAACCCTACAGGACAGTTCTACTCTGTTGAACAAGGTTGCTGAATTAAAATCAACTCAAAAGCACCTAATAAAAATAGCGCATATACATTGTCGGTGGAGCCAAATACAGGTATATGGGTGGATAGATGGGTGGACAGGCTGAACTATTAGGTATGTCTGTGAGGCGGGGAGTGTACCCAAGACCATGTATAGGGTTGGCAGACAATGGTTCTACAAGTGTATTTGTATGTTCTGTTAGAATTCCCAGGGGTATAGTAGAGCTGACAAGGGACAAATTTGTAGTCACTTCTTGGTCACAGCCAGCTACCTAGAGTGACTGAGTAGTTGAACTGGTGGGCTCGGGACCATAGTTGCAGGTGACATCAAGCTCAATTGGCATAACATACTGCATAAAACATTGTTCCACCTCCTACTTTGGCAAGTAGTGACTGGGATCTTAAAGGCTTGCAAGCAGCCATCTAGATGCAATGATGGGTCTCCTCGTCCAGAGCAAAGAAGAATGAAGAAAACCAAAGATTCATGGAAACAATTAGTCCTCACGACTGGTACACCATGTAATCCTTAGCCTATATGACTATAAGATCAGAAAAACTACATGGTGCCTGGCTACCACTGTCAATCACTCAGAAGGGGATCTATGTAGTAGATCCTGGATAGAGAGGGAGAACGGTGTGAAACAAAACTCAAAATCATTTGGGAAAAAAAAAAGAGGGGGACCAGGTTTGCTGGTCTGATAGAGGCTGGTGAAACCACTGAGACTATGGTCCCTAGCTGCCCTTCAGGTCTGGAACTTAACCCACACCTGTGGCTTCCAACCAAACAAAAGACAGGCATAAGAGCTGAACATTTATCTGAGGCAGATACACTCCTTGGAGAAAACAATCATGGGAGAAAGAAGGGCTGTTTATGCACAGGGAGACAGTTCAGGGGGCAGGAATGCATGGAGGGATGGACACAGGGAAGAGGTAGCTATTGGGAGGAAGTGGGAGGGGACGTGTTGCGAGCTGGTAAATTGTAGTCAATGTCATAAGACAACGTGTATATGAACTGCTGTATGGAAAGTGAATTTGTTCTGTAAACTTTCACCCAAATCACAATTAGAAAAAAAAGAATAGTGCATATAAAGCACTCAGTACCATGTCTGGCAGGCAGGAAACACACAGAAAATGTTAGCCTCACTCTTTCCCCACCCTCTGTGTCCTTGATGGTTCATATTTCTCTGTATTGACCTTGAGCACATCACCCTGCCCTCAAAAATGCTGAATTCCTCACATTCTTCTTATTTTTCTTTCAGAAAGTACAGTGAGGGCATTCTCACCACCAGCACCTTATGGAAGCCACCATCATCTCTGGCCTGAGCTGCTGCAGTGTCCTTGTCATCCCTTCCTACTCCCTGCAATCCATTCTGCACTGAGAGACTAGAATGATTTTTTTTAATACACAACGCTTAGTACATTCACCTTCTTAGAGCTCTAGGCAGTGGTTGTCAGATTTTTTTTTTGCCTCAGGACCCCTTAAAAATTAATCGAGGACCCTAAAGAGCTTTTGCTTATGTAGATTTTAACTATTGATATTTAACCATAGAAGTTAACACTGAGAAAAGAAAATGAAAACACAAGAATACACAAGCATACAAATTCCATTAGTTGTGACAATGATGATGTCAATACACATCTTGTAGCTTCTGGAAAACTACTGTACATGCTTAGACAATGAGAGTGAAGAAGGCCAATAACAAATTAGTATCATAGGAAAACAGTCTTGACCTAGCACATCCCCTTAAATGGTTTTAGGGATCCCCAGGGACAGGGACACTTTGAAATCCACTGCTCTAGGGGCAAACCCAGCCTTCCTGCCCTGGCCCATGTGTTGTCACTCAGGCCCCTCACTCCAACAATGCCCGATCCTCCTCAGCTCTTTCAGTGCTCATCACACCGATGGCCATTTCTTTCCTCCAGTGGGCCAAACGCCTCCTGCCGGGTTCCAGTGAGTTGTTCCCTCTGTTTGATCCATCCTCGCCCTCCCTGAGCCCCAGACTAGATCAGCCTCATCATTCCTCTCAACCACCTAGTGTCCCTCTGGCATCGTTCACCACGATTGTATTTAAGTGATTGTGAGAATCCGTTGTTAAATGCCTAT